AAAAACTGCTGAAGCTTTCTTAAATCATTTAATTAACTCATAATGCGTACAATTACTAAATTTCGATAAAAATTAATAAATTATGTTCCCCCAATGCGATTTAAGAAGGGCGGCCTACCCAGTTTGCCCTTTGATCTTATAAATTGGCCCTTCTTGCCCTATTTGTAAAAATAAGCTGACATCTCTTAAAAATATTGCCTTTTTATTTTATTTTTTCCGGAAAAAGTTGTTTTCTTATCCATCTGTTTTAATGATAAGTTGTCCAATACAGATTTATTTAGTTACTGATAATCATATATGGCAGTACTTTTACTTTCGTTACTTGTACCGCCGGTACAAGTAAAAAGTACGTACTTTTACTTGTACTTCGTTACTTTTTAAATTTAATACTTTTACTTGTACTTTCGTTACTTTTTTAGGGAAAAAGTACAAGTATTTGTAACGGAAATATCGAATGAAATCGTTACTTTTTTCTAAAACTCGGTAAGCTTTCTAAAAAAAAAAGAAATTAAATTTAAAAAAAAATGCTTATGTTTTTTTAATTTATAAAATTAATGTGCAATATATATGCATTCACAGCTAACTTCGTGTTTAAATACCTTCTGTTTCAACTTATACTGCACATTCAATTATTTTTTACTAGCTCAAAGATCACAAAGCTATCTGAAACCCCGTGTTTGCTTTGTTTATGTTTGTGCTTTTAAAACGCGTTTCTAAAGAGTAAAACAATTTTAAATCAATGGTAATTTAAATAAATAAAAATAATAAACTAAAAATTAAAATCAATAGATAAAATTTCTTTTTCGTGCAAATCCATAAAAAGTTTGATATTAAAATTATATTTGATTTTAAAATTATATTATACGATTATATTATAAAATTATATTATAATATTCTTCCGAATTTAAAAATAAATTAATGTCCATAACTTTCAAAATTAAAAATAATTAAATAAATAACAACAATTTTGCAAAAACATTAAAGAACATAAGAATATTATTCAATAAAATTTTAGGTTACTTTGAATTTTCAATTTCCTAGAAATGTACTTTTAAATCGTTACTTTTTTTGTTTAGTACTTGTACTTTTACTTGTACTTTTTACTCGTTACTTTTTAAAATACGAACTTTTTACTTTTTACTCGTTACTTTTTTAAAAATTACTTGTACTTTTACTCGTTACTTTTTCAAAGTAACGTTGCCATGTATGCTGATAATTATGTTATTTTCGATTTCATTCCTTAATTTTAGCAAGATTTTTCTTATGTTGTCTAGTTATATAGTTAAAATTTGCATCATATTCGGCCTGAGAGATATTCACATCTTTTATTTTGCGGGTATATTGAGTTTTTTAAGAGATTTTAAATTTTACCATAACTTTTTTTAATAAATACCTCTTAATGCTCCTTTAAATGTTCATTTTCTCATAATTTTCAGTTTAAAATATTAAAAAAAAAGCTTTAAGTTGTGTATCAATTAATCCTTTTTTTTTTAGTTTACTTTTTTTGAAGAAAATTTATACACAGAGATTGTCTTTTAGCTTGACTTTAATTATTTTTCAGAAGTTTCAAATTTTTGTTATTTTGATACAGAATGAGAATTATTTCGTGAAGTATTTATATAAAATATAAGAGTGTAATTTAAAAATTGAGGATCAATTTCAGTCCTTACATAATTTTACACATTTTGATAAAATTTAACGATGGTTGAGTGGCTTTTCAAAATTTAAAGTGCCTATATTCTCTGCGGAAGCACCTTGCCCTTATTTGTTCCTTATGTACTATAGAGAAAAATATTTAATTTTAATAATTTTTAAGTTCAGTTTGAAAAAAAATATGAAGTCTTGAAAAAATCATGAATTAATGAATCCAATTCATGTGTTATGATAATTATTGATTCATCTCTTCTATTAATTTAATCACACCTGTGAGTTTTTGCCTCTACCAAGTTCCCTATTATCAAGGAAGTTTTCTGATGTCTTTCTTATAAGATCATCAGGGGCCCCCACCAGGGGGGGAGGTGAGAGCACGATGCGCTCACTTAAAGCTTGGGGGGGGGGATTTTTACACTAAATAAAACGAATAGTTTGGGGGGAATTTAGAATTTGCCCAAGAGCTTGGGGGGGATGGGGGCCACTGAAGATCATTATAATTTATTTAACTGAACTGATAAAGATTTGGAATGAATTAGGCAGATAGTGAACACCTAAATAAAATCATATTACATACAAAAATAACTGAACGATCTGTCAAATTTTCATCAATCACAAATTGGAACTAATCACAATTACTAAAAACTAGAATTTAATTAATTAGAAAGTAAAAACTACAAAACTAGAATTTTTAAAAAAACTAAAAAAACACAGATAAGAAAATATTCTTCCAATTTGAAGATAAGTTTCAATATTAGCAATTTCAATATCTATTTAATTGAATACTAAAAAAGAAGCAACTTTAAAAACAAATTGCCAGAACAATTATCAAAAGTAAAATTTGTAATAAGTTCCTCAATCCACCATGTTAACAAATTTATAGTCATTGAAATTTTAATTTCAAAGGTTTTTAAATAAAGATCATATAAGAAGTTAAATTTAAATCATATAAGATTTGTTACTGCATTTTCTAATGATTTATATTAGATAAATGAGATTTTAAAAATATTTGCTAAGAAAATATAGTGTTTTATTGTTCTTTCTTTCTCCATAATATTTATAAAAAGTACTAGAAATTCTTAAAACTACAAATCTAGTCAGATAAATAAAAAGTCTTGATATTTTATAAAGTTAGAAAGACAGTCCCTCAATTACAAATAAATTTTATAGACATGCCACAGCAGTTAGAGAGAAAAAGCTTAACTTTGAACAGTAACACAACACTTTTTACATCTTAATTTCAATACAAAGAAAATTATTATTTCAAGAAGTTATTATAGTAAATAAAATATAAAATAAATTAATACATATTTTAATAAAGATACATTTAATAATTTCACTTAAAGTTACATGACATTATTGTAAATTTCTAACTGAACTCTCAATTCGAATTATATCTAATCATTAACCTATCTTTAAGAAACAATCACATACTAGAATAAGGTTTCCTAATCTATTTAAAAATATTAATTTAAGTGTGTAATATTTTGAATCAAATCAATATTTAAATAATCTTAAAATTTTTAATAAAAGCCTTTTTTTTATTTAATATAATACTTAACATTTTTAGAGAATCAATTCTTAAACGGACTCTCAGTTTATAATTTAAAAACTTTTGATTGTTGAATTGATTAAAACTATTAAAAGTAAACCGATACAAAAATCAATTCAAAAATTAATGCAACTAATCATCATATAAGATTTGTATCATATGTAAGACTTGTCTATCAAATATGATAGTCTTTTAACAATTGTAAATACGTTTATGACCCCCAATTCACTGTTATAAATTTCATGGTAAGAAAATTTCTTTAAATCAATTTTTTTCTCTCTTTAAAATATGATTCAAAAGTTCTCAAAATCCACACAAACAAATCAGGTAGAACATATAAGATACTTCAATCATTTTTATATACTTTGTGGATGGTCCCACAATTTTAGACTTGTTAATTAAATCATTGGATGAACAGCAGACCAAAAAAAAGCAGAACTTGAAAAGCGAAACTTAACAGAAAGTGGCATGTTCGATATTAAATCAAATGAACGCGACACAGAAATTTCGAAGTGATGACGCTTAGTCTCAGTAACTGTTGAATTCAAATGAAAAAATTAAATTAGTGAACGATCCTTAAGTTTCAAGGATTGTGGTACTGATCTATAAATAAAACAGTCTACAAACGTTGATTTTCATTGAAAAGTGAGTTCGATGTGCTAAGTTAGCACCCATCGCAATTTTGGCATTATCTAAATACTTTTTTACACTGACTTACACGAATGCGAAAACGGAGGTAATAGGGGGCAATTTGGGAGCCTTGAACAGGGTGCATAACCAAATCTTTCAACAAAAAATAAGCACCTTTTAAGTATTTTTAAAGCACTCAAAAATATTTTTAAGCACTATATACATTAAAAAACGCAAAATAAAATTCAAAGACTTTACATGATCATGATAAAATAAATGTTAAACAGGCAAAATGATTGGCGTTTTCATACGCTAAGGACACAATGTGAAAAGTACGCTTTTGCATAATACATGGCCAAAATCGACATGATAAAGAACTTTTTAAAAACGCTACGCACTATGTTGAACCTAGATAATGATATCCAGAATATTGTACAATTGGGTAAAATATTAAAAACAAAAATTAGTGCAGGAATTAGATTGCGTCTTTATTTTAAGTAACTAGAAAACAAATTATTAAAATAACAGAGATAACATTTTGAGTTCTCAAAAGTGGGGAAAGTTGAAGCTTCATAAGTTTATTACAGAAAACTATTGAATTCGTGTGCAAATGAATTTGGAAAACGAAACAGTAAAATACATCATTCAAAAATAACTGAATTTTTGATGCTAAAAAAATTATTGCTATAAGAATTTGTAAAGCATCGCAATTCAGCGAAGCAAGCAATTGATAACACTAACAAGCATAATTTTATTTAAATACTATTGCTTTAGTATGATAATTACTAAACAATTAAGACTTAGCTGTAACAATCAATGATTTTTTTTAATACTTAAGATATAATTGGGAATATGCTTAACATTATATAATGAAAATTTATGTCTAACTGAAACTTCATAACTTAGCAATTTATACTTGTATTTCACAGAAATTATTATACACGTGATTAAAGAACTGGGCATTATCTACAGACAAAATCATTTTTAAACATGTCGATTTCAATAACTGTTTGCGTGTAAAAAATAGTTTCTAGCATTCAGAACACAATTTAATAGGCACATTATAACTAATGCTTAAACTTAGTTATTATGAATAAACGTTTAAAAACATGAATGTAACACAAATAATTTTTAAAAACCTTTCAAAAATCTGACAATAAAAACTTACTTCAAATTTCACAATTACACAGATGAAACGACAACTGGTTGGATTAAATTTAAATGGCGGACAGTTGTCAGTTTCGACATCCGGGCAATGAGAAGTTTGAATTTTTATTCGCTGAGACAATTTTATTAGTTTAAAAGAAGACAAAAGGTTTATGCGGTTAGCAAACTATTTATTATAGATAAAGTTTATCTTTCGTTTTGCTTTTTTTTTTAAGCCTTTAAGCAGAAGAAAATACTTTAAACCATTATAAAAACAAAATTTTCAGAGCCAAAATTTCCCCCCATCTGGAAGCCAGTAAATACAAATGTTCAATCTGAAATCGAAATCAAAATTATAAAAAAAACAAACGAAAGGGTCAGGTTTTTTTTTTATTTTTTATTATTATGTTTAAAACTTTACTTTTCACTTACTTTTACTTTCTTATCTTTGCTTTTTTATCAAAATCAGTCTGGCGATTGATTTTGATAAAAATAATAGTGGATTTCGCTTTGAAAAAAATTGTTTGTAAAGAAACTAAACTTTTTTTTTTGCCTTAAAAATAAATGTTTAAATAATTAAAAATCTATTTTTTTAATTAAAATAAATTTTAAAAACTATGGGGAAAAAGAAAATCCGTTAGAAAGTATTTAGAATTTTCTCTCTGTCTTTTGAATTTTTACATTACTTAATTTATTCAAGTTTCATTATGTCCCCGCAGTGGACTGATCATTAAGACTCGGTTCCCAGTAGATCACCGAAATCAAGCATCATTGGTTGCGGTCAGTGTGCGGGTGAGTAACCCGCACACTGACCCGAGTGGATTAGTCTGCGTAGGGACAGAGGGTGCGCGGTATTGGTCCTCATTAAACTGTAAAGTGCTCGACTTCGCATGCTGGTCGTCGGGCTACCGAAGCGGGGTGCCATCCCCTCTGCAGAGGATCAAATTGCGTTGGCATGACTTCGGATCATCCTCAGGGATGCTTCCCAGACCGTCGCCAATAGCCCATTGTGCAGCTCTAGTGCGACGTAAATGAACTACAACAACATCAAGTTTCATAATAGACTTATCTAAAAAACACGGTATCCAGTTGAACACCGAAATCAAGCATCACTGCCAGCTGTTAGTGAGCACTTTGATCATCTTGCGAAGGATTCGAGCGTGTGCCGTATGAGTGTTCAGTAGTACAGTGCCCGACTTCACGCGCAGCTTGTCGATCTACCAAAGCGGAGGAGGAGAGGATCAAAATTATAATTGCCTGTTTTAGGATCATCCTCGGTGATATTTCTTAGATGTCGCCAATAGCCCATTGTGCCGATCTAGTGTGACGTAAATAAATTACAACTAATAAATTACTACTACTACTATTGCATAATATTGATCAAGATAAAAGTATATTTCATAACATGGATATTAAAATAATAAAGCTTTTTCCGGCATAATCGATTTTTGTTATTCGAAAATCGCAATTACAAAATCATACTATATAAAGCAGATTCATTTTTGTGAAACTGTTGTATACACTAACATTACTCAGCCCTGCTGTATTCTTGACAAAACATAGAATAGGACTTAAAGAGAGAGGGGGGGGGAGAATAATTTTCCAAGACGATACTTTTTTTTAAATTTCATTTTAATACCTTAGAAAAATTTTTACACTTAGTAAAATTTTTTACCTAAAATTTTTCATACTGCACATTTTGTTTTCAGTAGCTTTTAAATGCAAGCAAAAATTTTTAACAAATATACCCCTCACATTTCTGGATTCGAATGCAAAGGAAATGGTTAAGAAGTTCGAATTAAAACGAAATAAGCTTTTATTAAAACAGAAATATGCCTTTATTAAAACATAACGCGAAATATCATTACACAAAAGTGTATTTTACTAAGATAAACTAGTTAAAAATAAACTTACCTTTAAAATTACTTAATTTTTATGATAATCGGTCAGATGTATGACGTTTGAAAAAAAAAAAAAAAAAAAAAAAAAAAAAAAAAAAAAAAAAANAAAAAAAAAAAAAAAAAAAAAAACGAAATTCATAAGCACATTGTATACAAGTAGAACTTCGGCAATATAATGAAAAGCCCCATTATCAAATTTTTCAGTAGATCATTTTTGGTATTAAAAAAAGAAAGAAAGAAAAGGAAAATATCACAATTTACATGTTGGTAATTGACCTTTCTGTGTAGTGCTCAGCGATCTAGAGAAAACTAATAAAGTATCTTTCTGGAAAAAATACTGAAGATCAGTTTAATGTAAAGAATTTCTCCTTTGAAAAATACTGTGGTTTATCATTGTTGCCGTTATAAGTTAAGAGCTATTTGGACTAACTTGTAAAATTCTTTGATAACTACATTTACTTGAATTAGCTTAATTTTAGATTGTTAATAAAATCTGCGATTTTAAGGCTAATTTACAGGCGAAAAAATTTTCTTATAAGTTTGGAAAACAGTTAAATTTTCTTATATTCTGTGGGTCAATTATTTAACAAACCGAAAATCAAGGGGGAAATTCTGAAATCATCTTCTTTAAAGAGAGTTCGCGGCATAAAATAATTTATAAGCAAAAGAAATATGTATATATGTAGTATCATATTTAATAAATTATTTAAATCAGAAACTTGCTTGCTAGTGAATTTGAAACATATTAGCGAATTTGGTATCTGCAACTCGAGAGGAAGAGAACTGACTATGCCTTACCATGTGATTTAAATCAGATTTAATTGGATACGTCAAGTGTGTGTGTACCTGGTTGGATTCTTAATCTAAAAAAAACTATCTTTGAATGTATTTTCTTTTCGTTTTTTATTATTATTTATTTTTAAGCATCGTCATAAAAAATAAGTTTTAATAAATGAAACATCGAATTTCAACTGGCTTTTTATTTCTACCAAATCGTAAGAGGAATGTGAGAAATGGTTGCTCAAAATCCTTTTAAATTGCAAAATTTATTAAATCTTTGGAGAAAATTACAGCTTGAAAAAAATTCTCGTAAGCATAGATTTGAAGATATTTAGATTTGCCTATTTCGCCTGCTAGAGATGAAGGGGCTCAAAACTTAAGTTATGAATCACTAATGCTCTTAACAGTATTTTTTTTTTTAATTTAAAATAGCATAGATTTGATACCACAAATAAAGTTTTCGATTCTGTTGGGATATAATTCCAAACCTAATTATTTTGCTCGAATTCCATTGCAACTTTATGTAAAAACTTCATGTAGAATCTGCAGAAAAAAAATAAAAAGAAAGAAAGATGTCACCCTGAAAGACTTTCGTTCTAATGATCAGCTTTTCACGTACTAAATGCCAATCTTAATGGTTTCTGGGGGTGACCTCAAATATGCTAATTGTTTAGTGCGAACTATTAATTAAGTTACGACATCGGACGCAAAGATGTACTTTCTCTGACTAAACATATATTTTTTTTTACATATTTGGATTCTTAATCTTCAAAAATATAGGGTGTAGCCGCAATCTGGGAAATGTGGTCCCCATAGTTAGGTCAGACAAGCGACTCTTTATTTTAATTTCCCTTTTTGCGTATTTAGTCATATTTTAAAAACTAATTAAGCAATTCAAAAAAATTTGCATCCACATATAAAACTCATTTACCCAAAGATAATTTAATTCGAAAAGTAATTTTTAATAATTATTTATTAGTTTTTATTATTTAATTAAATTGAGGATGAAAAAATTTTGAATTATAAGGTATGAATTTTTTTATAGCATATTAGTCTACATATTTTTCTATTGAAAAATCTAAAGTTTCAAGTGCTTTTATTTAGTAGAAGCTGAAAAAAATTAAAATTAATTATTTTTAAAAAAATAATTTGGCGACAATAAAGAAATATTTAAATGGTATTAAATTAATATTAAAATATAAAATATAGAAATATTAAATTAATATTAAAATGTGGTTAGCTTACGAGAGGAACTAGATTTACGCGCGTGTAGCGTAAGATTTCATTCATATTTTTTTCGCTAATAACCGATTGCTAATCTTATTTTTTCAATTTTTTTTTATTATAAAATACGATGTTTCTTTTTTAGTCATCTAAAAATTTGTTCGTAATTTAGTAAAGAAATTTGAATAAAACATTATTTTTGAATAAAAAACATTTTGTTCAACGAATGTCGAGTTTTATAAAAGCATGCTTCTGATATATGATTATACACCAGATTGTGCTTATTTGATGTGATTATTTTTTATTTTTTAGTTTGTTTTCACAATAATTAGTAAAATTTCAATAATATACATACGTATGCATAGATTTGGAATAATATATTTATCAATTTCTTCAATATATATTTTATAATTATTAATACGAATAGGTAGTCAACATTTTTAAGCATCTTGAAATTTCTCAACATCTTATGCCTCTATCACACGAGAGAAAAATATGTGCAACTGCAAGTGTAAGTGCAACTGTAAGTGAAATTCCTCCGTTCGGAGTTGCCGAAAGGGTTGCTTAATTGCCTGAACAGTTGCATGAAATTGGGTTAGGGGCCGTTCAAAAAGTACGTACATCCCG